TCGACCTTTGGCGGTGCAGAAATGTAGTTGTGCAGTGAAAAGTGTGCGTGTCTCTGTGTGTGTTTTTTAAAGTGCAAGTTTTTTCTTACTAATACAATTAGACCAAAAATATTGATATTCCATCCATAGGAGTTATGGTGAGTTTATATTTGTGTTATGAATATTAGAAATTTTGGAGAGATTTTTATACAACTTAGAATGGCAAACTGACGACTCACCTGATGGAAAATTGGCACCGTCGCCTATAGACATGAGCAGTACCATGGACATAACAGACTGTATAGTCTCGTCCATGTTTCGTCCATGATACCCCCCATGCGTTGTCATTCCTGAAACTCAGATGTTATTCTTCTGTACACTGTAAATTCACTGCCATATCCCACCTTTTAAACCGAAACACAGCCATGCAAACACAACTGCTTCACGGTAGAAACGCGAATGAGACAGAGGTACCCAAACAAACAACTTGTTTGTACAAAGTCTCCATCTGGAATTAAAAAAAAACTTGGTGAAATTATTGGAGAAAAGTGAAATGGGTAGTAGGCATTTAGTAGTTATAAACCGTATAGCAATGTATATAATTTATATATTTAATAAAGTTAGCAAAACGGAAGATGCTATAAGACCAGTTGCCTAAATTTACCCTACTTCCTACAATTCATAAATTGGGACCAATCGGAAATGAAATTGGTACCTCATTTTACACAAAACAACATGTCTGTCGCTGCTCCACGAAGGTCGTCAGTTTAAACTATTTTTCGATTTATAATTATAGGGGGGAAAGGGATTGTTAGCAATGGAGTTTGACAGCCCCATTGCTAGCAATATGCCCTATCAGGTCGACCTCCGCGTGGTTCCCCCTGGAAACCATCGTGAACAATTCTTGTTGAATTCGTCACGTTGGGCTAACTGACCTGTTTCGTCCTCACCTATCATTCTTTACTAGTGCCCCGCCGGTGTATACTGATAGCGCGGATGGGGTTACCATTTCATTATCACCCATTAAAAGATTTATAATTATGTATTTCAGTTAAAGCTGTTTACACAAACAATCCAAAACACATGACCTATATATTTTAAACTGCATATTATTTACTTCTACTTATTAATTTGTTTACATACATTATGGGCCATTTCTTAATCACTTAAGGGGGGAGACTCATGTAAATGCCTCGAAATCGGTCATTTTTTAATATTTTTTTTTACAGTGAAAAAATAATTTAATTGTTTAGAACTTTTAACACAACTTTATTAAACATTTTAAGACTACAAAAAAAGAATTATTTTTTTTTTTTAATTCAAAATGGCGGCTCAGCATGATGTCTTGTAGGCTGCCTCTGACGCGAGGTCCGAAACTGCTTCATTTGTCACTCATCAACCATTGATCTGAAACACAAAAAAAAAAATTATTTTTTTTCAGGACATATAAACGGAAAGGATAAACCTATAAAATTAAAAAGAAAAGGATAAAATCCAATATTAAATCATACTTAAAAAAAATTTACTATTTTGGGCTATTTTTTTGACCCTTTTGACCCCAAAAAAAATAAGTAATCAATCAGAAATACCTGAAGTTTTAGGTTTATCCTTCCGATAGTAATGTAGAGAAAAGCCTCACCAAATTTCAAACAAATCGGTCAATAATTTTTTGAGCTACAACACGAACAGTTTTTCAAAAAGTAGTTTCGAGATAATCGCGTTTAAAGTTTCAGTACAGGAAAATGAGTAGTTTTACTGAATTATTAATTACTTACCGACTAATTTGCAATTCCAGGTCCATATAACAGTCCTTCTTCCTCCTCAAAAAGTTGATTTTCATCTATTTGATGTTGTCTGCGAGCTGAACGAGCATCTTTGGTCTCTGAAAGGCTTTTACGATTCTGTCGGGTTATTCGCTCCTCGTCTGTACTATCCGCAAATATCTTAGCATAAGTGCCAATATTCAGATTCAAAAGGTTCATTATTCTTAATACGGAAGTATAACCTTCATTAAATATCCCTGCAGCAATGTAAGCTGAAATTTCGACTACTTTTAGTCCGGAATGCAGGTGTTTTGGGGATAATCGCCAAACTGTAGCGTTAAAACTTTCGTTCGCGTTCTGCGTATGACCACCAAGGCATCGCTCAAGTAAATCATCTTTGGACAAATCTTGATATATTGGTAAAAGATGCTGTTTTAAATCTTCACCAAGTAATGGAGCTAAATTTTCCTTTCGAGGATCTCGATTTTGAGCAATAGCCTTCTGCCATTTGCACCAGCTATCAACGCCTACAGGGCAGTTATCATGTTGGGGATTTTCTGTAGTGGAAAAAATATGATCATAAGTAGCCATTATGGCTTTTTTCATATTTTCAACACTGTTAACATTTCTCTGAATACTTAAACCATAATATTTTGTTAATTTTTTTACCACTTTATCAGTTAGTTTTCCTCTCCCCGAAAGTTTCTTTTCTTTTCTTACATTTCTAAGTCGAGAACCCATTCTTTTTTCTACATGACCAATACATTCACTCTTCACTACTGGTAACTCATTACCGTAAGGTTCTAAATCTAGAATAGCCTTGAATGTCTTAGAATCTCCGTCACCAATGTAGTTACCATATTTTACTCCGAATTTTTCTTCTGAAGTCGAGAACATTTCTTTCATGGCATCGACTTCCATCTTTCCTGACGAACCTTCGTGATTTTTTTGACACTCATCCTCGTGATATTCAATCCACTTACGGAATTCTTCTGTATGAGTCTTGTTCTTCCAGTAAATACAGCCTTGACAGTAACTACTTTTTGTTTTCAAATCAATAACTTTCCCTGAATAATATCCTATGAGCGTTGCAACACCGTAATTTGATTTGAAACCACGTTTTTTCCAAGTACCATCTCCAGATACTTTTAAAATATTTTTTTCTCTTCCTTGCTCGACATTTTTTTCCATCTCTTCTTTCACTGCCTTCTGCGATAGAAATTCAAATGATAATTTCACTGTATTATAAATGTGTTCCACAATGTTAGCGTAACAACTTTTACTCAAACCAGTGCATAGGTCCATCAGGTTACAAAATAAATTTATCCCTTCTCTTCCAACACCCAAAAGTCTCATGATAAACACTATTCTCCGGTTTATTTCAAATCCGTTGTTAATGAAAGGACCTGAATTTATTGTTTTATTACCACATGGACATGTGACAACAATTTTAAAACCAAGACCTCTGGAACTACACTCATTGAATTTTATCTTCTGATTACACACCGAGCACTTCACAATTTCAGACAAAGCTGTAAACACTGTAAAAAATTCAATTATCCTGTACCCGTGTAAAGGATTTGTTATTATATCTTCACTATCACGGGCATGGAGTTTTTTGCCACTGGCACTGTGATCATGGCTTACACTGGCTTCGAATTTTTCACCTTCATTATTAGTGAATTGATTGCCCTGAAACTTTCGTTTCCGGGTGTTATTTCTTGCAATATTCCCACGTGTACCTTTTTTATAATTCGGCATTTTTGCTTTTCAAAATCGACTGAACACGAAGAAATCTCCAGCTAAACTAAATATATTTCTCGACTAACGATTATTCGTGTACTAATGTTACACGTGTGCAGAAATGTAAAAGTATATATATATATATTTACTAAAAAGGATTCTCGATAGTTGAACAAAAGAAATATTTCCAGGTATTATAATAGAAGGGTCCTTTTCAAGCGCCCCGACTACCTGGCTCGTTACTTGACAATACGTACTTCGGCCCGCTCCACTGTATTAGCTATAACTTTGTAAATATTCGAGATTTTTTTTTTCCGGCTCGTCAGTACACGCTCAACATAGTATACTTTCAGAATATCGAAAAAAAAAAAAAAATCGATTTTTTGAAAATTTTACATGAGTCTCCCCCTTAAGTTATTTAAGTTCAGTGTGGTTTACGGCCACTGAGTTGATTTAAGCAACATTAAAGACTCAATTAATTTAATGATATAGGACCTAGTGTTTACAAATCATTATTAATAGGTATAACAACATTGCAAATGAGACGGTAACTAACCTACTGATGTTATTTATGTGAAAGTCAGTTTATTTATTTGTTAATCTTGACGTGGTAACTGCTCGACCAGAGTCCACCGAGAGCATAGGCAAGTGAAATATTTAATTTTCATTCATTAAAAAAAGAAATATAAAAATATATTATATGTATTATTTATGTATCTAAGTATATATACATATGTATATATATATTTGTTGATGTATATATGTATATGTAGTAACAATATTTGTACATATTTTAGTAGTAAATGCACCGCCTACATAATTTTCTGCTTGCCTCATGGTTGACTGGTAGAGAACGCCATTAGATGTTAAGTTCGCCATATGTACACTTACTTATATTGCATAATTGTGCATTAAAGTTTAAATAAATAAATAATTTAATTATATTTTTTTTAAACAATTTACATCTCCCCTCTTAAGGAGAAGAGATGGCAAATTGAACCCTGACAGAAGCACAATCGGCCACGGTTCAAGGCCACAGGGAGAGAAAGCGGCGTACTAAGCGGGTAGTATCTAAGAGCACCGCTCTCTGCATCTTTCCCGGGAGTGAGCCGCCTCGGAATCCCAACCGTCTTAGATGTTGTTCCAGACTGATTGGGATAAGACCGTTCACCGACATAACGATTGTGAATGATTTCGGTCGATGTGACATTTCGGTTACTCATGAATCAAATCGAGATACTTTAATTACCATCATATCATCCTTCAACTGTCCACTGCTGAACATAAGCCTCCCCCTTGGGGGGTTTTGCCAGTAGGTTCCTGGTAGTTGCCTTGGCAGAGGGATTGACAACCGCAGTTAGGCTTTAGAGATGTTTTAAGAGGGACGCTACTATCCATCTCTTGTCCTCCCTTAGTCGCCTCTTACGACACCCACGGGAAAGGAAGGGGATTACTATGTCGGGACCACATGCCCATTTTAATTCTAATTATTAATGTCTTTTTTTTTTGTTACAGATGTCATCATGAAATGAACGTGAAGTGATGAAACAGTAATTTAGATGCAGTGAAGTGATTAAAACGAAATATTAAAGTGAAATCGTGATTTTTAACGAATTTAATTGTAAAATATTGTATCTATGTGTGAGAAAACGAGTTTGGGTGTGGGTGGGAAGATGACGAGTCTGAACCCGGAGACCAGGATCATGATAATGAGGTCCACCGACGGAAGACACAATTGCAGGAGACAGGTATGTAATCTTAGATAAATTACTAATATTATAAATGTGAAAGTGAGTTTATTTTTTACCTTTTAATACCTTTTATTGTATGAATCATTATCTAATAATATATTTCAACCCTAGATTATATGGATAGAGCATCGAGTCTCAAAAACGGGTCAACTTTTTGTCAGCTAATTGTCAAATTTCTGTCTCGTTTTTTTATCTATTCTATATATTTACGCATAAAATGTATCTTGACGTATTATTTAATAAATAAAATTAGTGTTTATGCATTAAAGAGATAAAATAAATAACATAGAAGTTATAAAGGAATCACTCATAACTACTTATCATGCAAAATTGTATGAAAAGATTGACTCGTTTTTCTCGAACCATTTCTATGGAAACACTATCTATATAATCTTCTAAGATTTCATCATATCCGATATAATAAAATTGTAACTCGACGATGTCTGTTCATTGAAGGATATTTAACAAAAAAATATACAAAGGATCTTAATAAGACAAAAAGATGCTTAAAGAATATATTTTTTAAATTTAGTCTGTCTGTATATTTATTTCGACATCTCGCAAATTTTACAGCACCAAAGTAGATGCGATTTTCAAAGTTGTATTTCTAAAGATCTAATTTAAAATCTCGGTTATGTTTTATTTTATTAATCCTTTGTATAAGTAATTTATTTTCTTGATTGCCTATTTCTGAAATCCACGCATACGAAATAAAGGACATAAAACTAAGTTTAATACTTAATAACTATTTAGTCTTTTCCTCTCCATTCAAAGGTGGCCTGGAAGAGATCACTTGTAGCGATAAGGCTGCCCATTGTTTTCTCAATGTGAACATTTCTTGTAATTGTTTGTGTCTATAATAAGTTTACTATTGTAATCTTTTGGAGGTAACAATAAAGAGTGTCTAACTATCTATGTAAATGGACAAAATGTGCTTTATGACTATAGCCATAAAGCACATTTTTGGGGTCAGGGGCTATTGTCGATTGTCGTAGTTGATTTTTTTTTCAAAGAAAAAATAAGTAAATCAATACAATTAAATATTTTATAATGTGTTCTTACAAAGTTCTGCTTTACTTTTATTTATATTTTAAAATAAGAATTTACAGGGTATAGAGGAATAACATTTGAGTCCTCAGGAATGGCAACGCATGGGGGGTATCATGTGCGAAACAGTATACTCTGTTATGTCCATGGTACTGCTCATGTCTATAGGCGACGGTTACCACTTTCCATCTGGTGGGCCGTCAGCTTGTTTGCCATTCTATGTTGTATAAAAAAAGTAAACATGTTTTGTTTGTAACTCAATTACGCTTAAACGGTAGAACGGATTTGATAAAATGAAAACTGCTAAAAAAAATATGGTACATGAAAAGGTTATATTTCAATTTAAAATATAGAATACTTTGTACACTGATTTACGTGAACAAAACCGTGTATAAGAAAAGCTAGTAAAATTAATCATTGTCTATTAGACAATGAAATAAGTATTTATGACGACAACGATGGCAGGTTCATCTGTCATACTCGTGAACGGGTGGTTCAGATTGGGACTGGTCTATTCAAGAATACTATGACCGACTGTAATTTTTATCAGCATGATTGTACATTTTTTGTTTACTCAACTTTAATTAAAAAAAAAAACATCAGCTGAGTTTATTTATTTATTTATAATATAACACCTGACTCCTCAGGAATGGCAACGCATGAGAAGTATCATGGGCGAAACAGTATACTCTGTTATGTTCATAATACTGCTTATGTCTATAGGCGACGGTTACCACTTTCCATCAGGTGGGCCGTCAGCTTGTTTGCCATTCTAAGTTGCATAAAAAAATCAACTCTTCATTGCATCAAAAATATAAAAATACTCATATACAATGACAATTAGAGAGTTCAAGTGAAATACAGTAGCATAAAGTACAGATTAAAATATATACATAAAAGTAAAAAAGGCGTTTTATCACTAAGGCAATCTTACATTTCACAGATAAGCTTTCGTTAAAGGAGTTTCTTGCGCGTTTTTCTCAGTTGAAATTACATTCCGAATTGGACAGTAAATTCATGAAAATAAAACGCTATTTAGAAATGCTTAAAATTTAAACTAAGAACTTTTTCTGTCAAAATTTGCTATACAGCAGAATATTAATGTCAATACTTATTTTTTGAGAATAAAATGTAAAGTGCCACACACAAGTCCAAATGATATTAAAAATAATTAAGTTAATAATTAAATAAAATAAAAATAAACAAGATTTGTTTCATTAATTATTTTTATTTTATTTATAAAAATAGGTCTCTCAAAATACAATGAATGCGGCGTGACGTAGTCACACAAAAATAATACACAAATATCTACTAAAACATGTTTATTTCCGTTATTTGGCAAACTCGGAACACTATCGGCCAATGTTTTGTTTGTGTAATGCAATAATTTCAACGGTCAACGACCCCGGAAATATTGTCAACTCAGATTGTATCTGAAAGCCCTTAATTTATAGTCCGTGACAGCTATCTGGAACGTAAACAGCTGGTTAAGGTGGAACTATTATTTAATCTTTAGTTAAGGTGTCAGTGACGGCATGTTTAAATCTTTGATTAAGATCTTTTATTTAATGATTAATGTCGTTTTGACGGAAATCTTAAAAAAGTCTCTTTTTTTCTGCAAAATGTAAATAGAAAATTCATAGACATGTTATATTAAAAATAGGCGTATTACAACAACAGATGTTTCGTAGACATATGAAATTTGACATATTTAAAGGAACGCGGAACTTTCAATCGATTTCAAAAATGACTACTCATTGAAATTATCACAAAATACAATTACACTCTAAGTGTAAACAAAAATAAAACATGAAAACATGTCTCTTTTAAAAGATATATTAATAATGATATTTATAGTTAGTTTAGTTGATGGTTCAATATGTACTTAGTAAAATTATCACAAAAAAACAATTACACTCTAAGTGTAAACAAAAATAAAACATGAAAACATGTCTCTTTTAAAAGATATATTAATAATGATATTTACAGTTAGTTTAGTTGATGGTTCAATATGTACTTAGTAAAATTATCACAAAATACAATTACACTCTAAGTGTTAACAAAAATAAAACATGAAAACATGTCTCTTTTATAAACTATATAAATAATGATATTTAGGGATAGTTAGTTTAGTTGATGGTTCAATACGTACTTAGTAAAATTAAATTAAATTACACTCTAAGCGTAAACAAAAATAAAACATGAAAACATGTCTCTTTTAAAAGCTATATAAATAATGGTAGTTAGTGCTACAAATTTATGATAGAAATGTAATAAAACCTGTGAATAAAACGCAAAAGCTAGTAGCTATACAGACAGACAAGCGTTGTAAAATATAACTAGTATCATTATCGTAAAGTTCTCATGCCAATTAAATTTTATTATGTTGTTTTATTTCGATAAATTCAATGCGTAATGGTGAACAAGATAGTACGCGTAGTGAGTCCCGTTTAAAAAAAAAGGCTTTACAATTTAACTTTTTTTTTATTTCATCATCATAATCATCATATCAGCCGTTAATTGTTGAATGCAGGTCTTCACTAGAGGGGTTTGGCCATCAGTTGACACGCGATTCTCCCTGGAAGCCATCTTGGTTAATAATTGTTGAATTGGTTACTATGGGCCAACTGACCTAGTTTCATTCTCACCTGTCATCTCTCATTGGTGTCCAGTCTGGGTACCGACAGCGCAGGCAGAATCAAGATTTCATTTACAACCATTAAAAAAGGGGGGAAAGAGATTGCTAGTAATAGGGTCAAATTTTTCCATTACTAGCAATAAACTCTATCAGGTCGACCTCCCCGCGGTTGCCCTGGAAACTATCATGGTTATTTCCTGATGAATTCATCATGATGGGCTAACTGGCCTATTTTCATTCTCATTTATCATCCTTCACTGGTGCTCCGCCAGCGTATCTCGTTAGCACAGGCGGGGTATACCATTTTCACCCATAAAAAAAAAACCATTAAAAAAGGTCTCCCCAGTAGATACCTGTATCGTTTCTCATTTACTACAGTTTTTTTATCATTATGATTTTAGCTAGGTCTCCTCAATTCTTCTACTGTGTAATAGCCCTAAAGCTAGTAACATACCTTATCAAGTCAACCTCCATACAGTTCCCTATAGAAATCATCTTGGATAATTTTGTAGAATTCGTCATGATGGGCTTATTGACCTGGTAGTCTACCATGAAATAAAATTCCAAATTTTCGGGCTCAATTTCGTGTTTTTGTTCGTACCGAAATCGAACCAGTAAATGGAGCTTAACATTTCGTTCAACATAAATCCTATCCCAATAGTCCAGAGGAACGATATTTTAACATTTTTAATAATTTTAAACGGCATGTATTATGTAAATTTAACATCAAATTTCTGTTTCGTTCGTCCCCAAAATTTCGGAAAATATTTCATGGTAGGCCCTCTGTTTTCATCCTCAACTATTATCTTTCACTGGTGCTCCGTCAGTGTAATCCGACAGCGCAGACGAGGTTACCATTCCATTTTCACCCATTAAAAAATATCCTACTTTCCCGATTGTCTACTATTTCATCAATTTTTCATCTAATTCATAATTATTATTAATTATAGGAATTAATGTACAATACAAATTATAATAAATAAAACAAAAGTCTTTTGTTAAAACACAATTACATGTAATCATTTTTCACCTCACTAACAGTACATGTATAATAAATTACCGGAATAATATACAATTAATTCTTAACATTCATTTGATACGTAATGCACGTTAATAAGGTCGGTAATCCATTGTCAACTATTTGTCTTTGTAAGGGACAGAATGTGAGGCAGTGTGCCGGTCATTGATCCCGCCGAAATGGTTCGGTACGATCTAGCGAGCGCTTTCAGTGGAGTGACTAGTGCTGGTATAAATAGTATTGTCTATTTGTTTGTCGATATCGATGATTTTGTTTATTTATTTAAAATAAAAAATAATACGAAAGACTCCATTTTATAAATGCCAAACTCGTGTAATGATAAATAATCGTAGAATTTTTATTTTGTCATACCGTTAAAGTAGGTTTTTTAATTATTCATAATTTAAATAGATAAAGTGTGTTTTAAATATCATCAATTATTTCTGGAGTTAAGTACTATGCTGATTTTATTTTACGATTTGCAACAAAGTATCCACTAAGTTTCTGTTTTATCTTTAATTAGGTACTTATGTATCTTGAATGGTCAGCCACTGTTTTCATCTGATCAAGACTAAATATATGCAGAAATGTATGCCAAGTGGAAATCTAGAATGCAATTACCTACTCGTACGTTTATATTCATAATTAAAAGGTAATTAGCATAATATGTTTGCTTGGTTTAATTACGTTATAAATTTGTTTTAGTGAAATGAATTATGTTTATGTATAAATTATAGAATTAAATTAAATTCAAATAAATGATAATTAATTTTAAGGTTATCGCAAATGAGAAAGAGTGTTTAAATTAGGCACTTTTTGAGATTTTTTTTTTATTTTAGACAGGGTTTCTTTTAATATACACTTTATTTATTTTTTATTTTAAAAGAATACAAGTGTTAATACAAGTTATATTGATTATTTTAATACGTTTGTTGTTTAGTTTTAAGTAATGAGAATTAAAGAAATTAGACTGTTGTGTTCTGAAATTTTGAACGATATATTCACACTTTACTGCAGTCATTAATAAAATTTTATTACTTTTTTTTCATGACACTGCAAGTGTATTGATATTTTATATATCAAATTTAAATCTACAATTTTTTTTTATGTTAACTCCGGATTCTCTATCGCGCTTGTAGGAACTAATAAGAAATGGATAGATGAGGATGAAACATATCAGTTGCTCTATCGTGACGAATTCAAAAATTAACTACGATGGTTTCCAGGGGGACCACGTAGAGGTCGACCTATTAAGGTATATTGCTAGTAGTCTTGGGCCTATATTGATAATGAGATCTCATTAATAACAATCTCTTCACACCTAAGGGAACCCTATCGTATTATAATGTAATATAAATCAGGAGAGAATAATTTATTAATAAATAAATTAAATAACGATAAATAAAATTACAAAATAAATTAGTTATGTACAGTTAAAATTTGAAATAATTTATTTAATGCAACTTTTCAATAAAGATATTTACATTTTTACCTTTCGAGACTGCTATTACCTATTTGTGTGCTGTGGATAACATTTTAAATAAAATATGTGAATAACTCGTGAGGAAACATTTTTAGTGACTAGAATTTGTTTTTGTCGTTAACTGTTTTAGTTTGTTAGCTGTCTTTATTTATTTATTTATTTCTTCATTAGTACAAATATGTGTACATGGCGGACTTAATGCTAAAAGCATTCTCCCTCAGTCAACCATAGGGAAGTGTCAGAATACTCGAATGCGGTACTACTAATTATTGATATACATACATACTAAAATTACATATATAAACGAATAAATATATATAAATAACAAATATACTTATACATATATGACATATACTATATTATACACGAAATTGAGAATAATATAATGCGTATAGTCTTTCTTTCTTACTATAGAATAATAATAATAAAATTTTATCGATATTCTTGCCAACCCTAGCAATCCATTCTCACATACATGGTGTTCGAAATATTGATCGATTTTGTACCACATTGTAGACTAGAAATGTACTGTACAATCTTGATAAAAGGATTTTTAACATTGTCCCTGATAAAATAGATCATCTATTTATTTAATAATGTAATTTGAGAAAATTTACTTTTGTGGCATGAAACGGAACGCAAGCAATGGAATGGCTAGTGGAGGGAAATAGTGTATTTTTTTTATGCAACTTATAATGGCAACCAAGCTGACGGCCCACCTGATGGGAAGTGGTAACCGTCGCCTATAGACTTGAGCAGTACTATGGACATAACAGAGTATACTGTTTCGCCCATGATACCCCCCATGCGTTGCCATTCCTGATGACTCAGGTGTTATTCCTTTGTACCCTGTAAATTTACTATCATATCCCACCTTTTAAACCGAAACACAGCCATGCAAACACAACTGCTTCACGGTAAAAACACGAATGGGACAGAGGTGTCCAAGCAAACGACTTTTGTACAAAGTCTCCCTCTGGTGAAATATTAGTAAAGATACAATGTTAGTAAGGATAATGATTATACCTGACAGACAGACACACCAGTAGATTATTAGTTCCCTTGCACAGAAGTCACGTAATCACCTGCCTCGCTTATTATCTTGTTTGAGAAAATTACATATAAAGATATATGCAGGTGAAACTGCATACATATTTAGAATTACATACCTACATCCAGTTATTCGCTGTCCCTCCACATTAAGAGAAAGTTTCCAGATAATTCATGCATTTATTTATTTATTATTTATTTAACTTTTTGAATGAATAAATGAATGAGTATACTTTATTTGCATTATACAATATAGGAAATAAGCAAGACAATTCACAAACATAACGATACAATTGTATAAGTACAGTAAGGCGGTCTTATTGCTGAGTGCAATCTTTTCAAGGCAACCTTAAGGTAACGGACTAATTGTTGTACAAGTAGGTATGATAGTAAATAAATAAATAATATATATATATAAATAATATATATATATATATATATATATATATATATATATATATATATATATATAATATTTATTTTATAATAGTTTGTTTTCCTTGTGCCTATAATTATTAATATATATTCTAGTATTAGGTACATATTTAACATATAATTTTGTTTGATTTAACTACTAAAGGAGAAATAGTAGGACTTAAAAGAGCGCACCGAATAGAGGTAGGTAGTGAGTTTCATAGGCGAACTGCCTGCACAGTAAAGGATTTAGAATAAAAGAAGAATGAAAAAGCGGGAAATTTGAGGCGGAGGTTGTTGACACTGTGCGAATTATGGTCGTATTTGATGAAGCATACTTTGAAGAATATTAAAAATAATTGAATCTGTTTTATTTTCATGTGAACCTCTTTTTTTTAATATACCATCTCTTTTCCACAGATCCTGGCGGCTCTGGCTGTCTCGCTCGGTCCATTCGCAGCCGGCCTCAGCAAGGGTTACATGTCGCCTGCAATACCATCAATGCAAGAGTCGAGATTGCACGATGGACTCATAGTCACTGATCAGCAGGCCAGCTGGATTGCCAGTTTAAGTTTGTTGGGTAAGTTATTTCTTACTTGTTTTACTATAGAAACAGTGATTATAACCATGATGAAATTTAAAAACAGGAGGGGGAAAAGGGATTGTTAGTAATGGAGACTGAGAATCCCATTGCTAGCAATATACCCAACCAGGTCTTGAAATTTTTATATATATATATATATATATATATATATATATATATATATATATATATATATATATATATATATATATATATATATATATATATATATATATATATATATATATATATATATATATATATATATATATATATATATATACCCATTATAATGTTTCCATTAAAACAAAATATGGATCAATATATTGAACACTCAAAATGCTATTATTACGTGTAACTGCAACCATTTTTCAAAACCAAAACACACCGATTAACTGCTTCAAACACCATATAAATCATGGCAGTAACTCGCGAACATACATTACTAGAGAGATTATTCTGTCCGCACTTTGTGATTACAATCAAACACAGGCATATCTTCAATAACTCATTGTACAGTCCGCCACATTTATATATTCTTTATTGCACCTTGACAATACATGCGACGATTAGTTTAACAACTTGTTAGCAAGGGAGGACTTATCTCTGAAAGAGATCTTTTCCAGCCAACCCAGTGTGGTTAGAGAGAAAATAATTTAATTTGGGTAATCCAGTGCAGGAAAGGTACTGGTGAAAATAATGTAAATACAACAAACATTTTCTTCTTCATATTTCTTGCAAATAAATATTCATTTATTCATTCATTCATTCAAACACTATTGTGAATAAATATATAAATAAATAAATAAGTACGTAAATAAGTAAATAGATAAATATATATACATATGTATAAGTACATAGAATTATCATGTACAATTGGTTAAAAGATGTGATTTCAGTCTTCTCTTGAAGGAAGTAATGGAAGGACTATCCTGTATGTCAGCAGGTAGCCTGTTATTATAGATAAAGAACATATTCCTTCTTAAAAGATAAGAAACATGTTGCTATAATTATGTCACATAGTTTTCACTACATCTGCCCTTCATACGCTTTCTGTTCTTACCTAATGGTTAGCTGGTAGAGAATGCCATATGGCATTAAGCTTGCCACTTCTACAAAGTTTTATTGTGCAGTAAAGAATAAATAAATAAATAAATTAATAAACACCAATTTCTCTGATGTTGCCAATAGGCGGCTGTAATCCCTTATCACCAGTTTGACCCATATGTTATAAAAAAGAAATAATTTAATTATTAAATATTCTGCATAATTTATAATTACGTCAACATTTATAATTATTAGCCTTATATTTATTATTTATTTATTATCAAATAATTAAATTAATGAAAGTTTAATAAAAAATAAAATAAAATTACATTATTAAAAATAAATTAAATTATTAAATTTTGCACACCTATGGGTGGAATGCGTACTTTTATTATTTCTGTATAGTGTCATGATAATAAATTATTTCTTGCATATAAAGAATTTCATTGATCGATTAATTAAATTAAAAATAAATTATTTTTATTGTTACCTGGTTTAAAAGATATATTATTTTATACAGTTAATAAACTTAATTTGTAAGATTACTTGGCAACTTTTTTATATGTCTGACTGTACTGTCAGACAAGGAACCGTGGAACAATAAATAAACATCGGGATAAATCGAATTGGCTATTTTAAGATCATTTTATGTGCACTGATTTACTGCACGGCGCACGTGCATTCTGTCTCAAGAATTTTGATTCGAAACACCCGTCCTTAAATTCGAAACCCTTTTTTTTTTTTTAATTTTGACAGGTTTAAATATTAGAAATATTACTATTGTACCCTGAACTGTTTTCTCACATATGTTTTTATTTATTTTGCCTTACTAGAAACAATTTTCATTGAATAAAAATTCGAGTGTGTGTAAATATTTAATTAAACCAAATGAATAATTAAATAGATTTAAATTAATATATATTTATGAAAATAAATTTATCTTAATTGTTTACAATGAATAATTATTTTTAATTCATAAAGTAATATAAAAGATTTGAATTTATGGATTAGTTATTTATTTTTTTGTCTCTACTAATTCACAATGTCTATCAGATATTCAAAGATTGACTGAAAGAGGTATCTTTTATGGGATAAGTACGCCATTGTACTGATTCTATTCTTAAGAACTCCGTATCATATAATTTAAGCATTTACAATAAAGTGTTTTGTAAAATTGTACAAAACAAACACATTCAACGATTTAATTTAAATTTTTTTTGTTTACAAATACATATTTAACTATACAAAAACTAGTGATACGTGACCGGAATATATTGATCCAAAGTTGCCTATCATCATCATCATCACCTTATCATCCGTTAACTGTTCACTGCTGAACATAGGCTTCTTTCATAAAGAGGGGTTTTGTAGTTGTTTCATGTTTGGCAGGCGGATTGGCAACCGCAGTTAGGCTTTGAACAGGGACGCTGCTGCCCATTCCTCGCCCTCCTTAGTCGCCTCTTACGACACCCACGGGGAAGGAAGGGGTGGCCCATTCTATGCCGGGACCACACATATTTATAACATTAGTAAGGATTATTTTTAACATTACACCCTTTTCAATGCACATCTGCGTTTATTTCCTGAAGACGAAACAACCGTTGCTTTCAGCGAACGTTCCGGCGCCGGCGCCGCACAGACAGATAAATAAACTATCGTTATATATTACAATGTGAAACGCCGAATGGCTTGCAAAGTGTGTTGTGATTAAGTGATTGTTAACAAAATAATTTTGTAATACATGGTTTCTTGTTGCTGAAACCAATGTCGGTATTTTAGGTTGAATACTTGAAATCCGGAGGATTTTGAACTTTTAGTTTTCATGAAAGGAAGAAATAAAGAAATATTTTTATTAAAATAAACTAATATTTATGTGCCCCTCTCAAAACATCATCAAGAGCCATACTGCGGATTGCCAACCCGCCTGCCAAGCGTGGCAATTACTGGCAAAAATTATGGGGGAGGCTATAGCTATGTAGGATTGATAGTAGGGTTTATCTATATAATCAATAATTAAAAAAAAAAACAAGGTATTTCACAATTAAAGAAATTTTTTTTGTCCAAGTTAACAAAACACTCTCTACTCACGCGGTTCGCGCAACCAACAATTATTTCATGATATATATAACAAAATGTTTGTTTGTCTACTTGTTTTTAAAACTCAATTATATTATAAAAGTTGACATATATTATAAACATTGGTTTTATTACTACTATTATTTTCCCACAGCTATATACAGGCTAAAGTTCTTTATTTACACTTCCTTTATTTGCTTCCTTTAATTATTATATTCGATGATTAAAAAATTCTGACCCAATTCCTATATTTGCGGATCTAATCGGTACATATTATTAAAAAGGATCCTGTATCCTTTGTAAAGGCGTCGGCAAATGGACTAATAAAAAAGTAAAACAGATCTTATTACAACTATGACTAAAGTATTTTGTCAAATGCTATTGCCGCGGTTCGGTTTTCCATATTTACGGTATCTGTATTCGCGGTATATTTATGGAATGTATACACCGCGAATAAAGAGCTTTTACTGTACGAATATATACATATTATATATGTACATAGTTTGTATGTACATGAAATCACTCTACAATTGCGGTTTTCTTTGTGGTTTCTTTAATAACCACAACATCTTCAGAGCATCTGCGCAGTGACAATTGCTACTACATATTAAGGTACTACTTTACAAATACAATAAAATTGTTACTAGACGACGTCTGTACATAAGAAATCTATACTTATAATAAATCTGTAGAGAGGTCAATTCTGTACATGAAATATATAGACAGACGAATGGATGGATAGATGAATGTTTGTTACTTTTTCACGCAAAAACTACTTAACATATTTGAACGAAATTTTAGTACACAGACAGGTTGTATGTAAATTTACTAACATTAGTTTTAAGAATATTGTTACTAATAAATATTTAATAGACCAAAAAAGTCCGAAATCAAAAATATTATTATTATTATATTGTCTAACTTAATACATAGGATACTTTATGTACTACGACATCGTAGGATATAGCCAGTATTAATTCAAGGCCGTATGGCCCCAGCATAGGATAGGCCACCCCTTCCTTTCCCGTGGATGTCGGGGACAAACGGAGGGCGAGTGATGGGCAGCAGCGTCCCTAAAAGCCTAACTGCGGTTGTCAACCCGCCTGCCAAGCGTGACAACTACTGGCAAAACTCCCAGTATGTAGAAGGCTTATGTTCAGCAGTGGACAGTTAACGGCTGAAATAATAATAATTCATTGGGGGGAAAGGGATTGTTAGTAATGGAGACTGAGAATCCCATTGCTGGCAATATACCCAACCAGCTCGACCTCCTCGCGGTTCCCCCTGGAAACTATCATGGTTAATTCCTGATGAATTCATCATGATGGGCTAACTGGCCTGTTTTTATTCTCATCTATCACCCGTCGCTGCTGCTCCGCCAGCGTATCCCGTTAGCGCAGGCGGGGTTACCATACCATTTTTACCCATCAACATTTGATTCCTATTTTATGCTCCTAATCGCTTTTTACATCGTTCAATTTACAATAACTTACATGAATGAAAAATGTGTAACCGCAGTGTTATGTGATTATACTTTCTAATTGGTAACATTGTCATTAGTTGTAAATTTCACTTTCTTGGAGCTCAGTGTTATATCATTATGTGGACATTTATGTAGATAGGATTCGAATAGAATTGTCTATTTCTATATTCATTATTATTATCATATTGACTGTAAAATGTCCATTGCTGAGCATAAACTTTCTTCTATTGGGTGGTTTTGCATTGGCAAAACCACCCAATAGTTACCACGCTTGACATGTGAGTTGACAGTCGTAGTTAGGCTTTGATGGTAGGGATTGAGGGAAGCTGTTACCTATATAATTGTAATTTGTTTATATTTATAATATATATATATATATATATATATATAT